AAAGATATTGTCAAACCTCTTTTGATTAAATGCGGGGAGTTTACTTTGGGAATTCTTAGTGGGCGTATGGACATGAGAATTGTGAAATTCCAGAAAAAAGTGAAATTTATTTTAAAGTGAATGGTATCGGAAAATTAGAGTTGTGTTTGGACATGAATACAATTTGGAGCTGTTTTTGAATTTTCGTGACTGATTTGAAGTTAATTTTGAAAACAATTTTTTAAATTTTCGAAAATTTTTAAAATTTAACTTCAATTGAAATTTATTCAATTGAAATTTAAAACTTCCATGGACAAACACTAATTTCGAAAAAAAAACAAAAATGTTTCGAAAAATGGCCAAACGAGCCCTTAATGTGACTTAAAACCTTTTTGATCGTAGTAAGTGATGATAATGTGACTAAATAACTTTGTTCAACTCTTATCAAAGTTAAGGTGTTAGAAAAATTGTGCTAGATTACCGGCTATATGTACACTGTTTTATCAATCTGACATTGATGAAACCAAAGACGACCCTGCTCGCAGAGGCGGATGCAATATGGGTTCTATGGGCTCAACTAAACCCAACATTTTTGGCACAAACTGTAAATATATTAGTGAAAAATAACTAAAATGTCATTAAATAGTAAATTCTAAGCTCATTATTTCATAAGTGTAATGGGTTCAATAGTAAAATATAAAGATTGAATCGATCTAATTTAAATTCTGGATTCACCTTTGCCTGCTTGTTTGCGAGGACTCGTAATAGATATCCAGAATATATATCAGGACATATCAGTTTGGCCCATAAAAAATGATATGTCGAACCTGTTTGTGGCAGTGAAATCGGATGCTCGGTTAGATAAATTTCAAGCTATAAAGAACCTCCGTGATTTTCCAATTGCAAGCTGCATGTCTTTTTGGTTGCCCATAGTTATAAAGTGCCATTAGTTGTAACTGAGTTTCTTATAAAATTATGCCTAACGTCTTTCCCCCATTGAGTTCTCAACTAGAATGCAGATTTAACTAATTTTTCGAACCTTGGTGTATAAAAGTCATGCAGATACTCTACCTAATAACTATCTCATGATAAGCTAACTTTGGCTGGCCTTTGCTCTTCTTCTTTATCTGAAGTACAGCCCGAGGAATTCAATAATATAATTCCTGGAACAAATAAGTGGGACATTCTGTCCACATTAAAAGAGTACATTGAAGAGTTGTTTATATTATTGGTGTAAGGGTAGTTCCTTAATGGATTTGTATCAATTTATGGATTTCTTGGATTTGCTAGGTGGGATGTAGGGAGTGTTTCTTGTTTTGGAATGTTCTCTCTATCTTAAATACCATCTTGGTACTGTTTTAATAAATCTTTACCTTCTCCAAAAAAAAAAAGAGCTGTTTAGAAGTCTGCTAGGCAGTATCTTTAATTAGCTGACTGACTCATTCATTGTGCTACAAAAGTGCTATAATTGTAGTAATATCTTTCTTGATATCTCCCAATAATTTATTCTTCTCTTATATAGCTGTAGATAATAATCTTTATCTTTGTTGTCTCTATTATGAAGATTTACTTGCTTCTGCTTAATGTTGTTGGACTTCCTAGGGTCCTTGAGCCATCCTATTTTTCGTGTTCCACCAATGACGGTCTTGGTTACAACTCAAATGAGGATAAAACAGATGAACTTACTAGTTCAATTAATCTGATGCGCGAAGTCTCTTCCAGTGGATCCGTGTCTGATTGGATTGAACCGTCTATGCATATTTGTAATTCAAAACTAATACAGTCTTATGGAGCGAATCGGGTATTTGATGCTTTCCACTTGCTGCAGACTGAACCTTCTATTCAGGTACCTTACTGGAGTGCCTTCAGGATTGCTTTGAAATTGATTAGTGGATACATGGATATCAGAAAGAGTTGCTTGATGTCATATCTTAATTTGATTGTAACTGTTGTGAAATAACGAGTAATCTAGACCTTTTAAAATAAAATCTGAGTCCTCTCTCTGAGTTATTTTCAATAACTGAGGTGGTGGCTAAACAGACAAAATTCTTGGAGAAAAGTGAGTGAAGTAATTTCTCAGTTACATCTGTAGTGGAGTTCATGAAGCTTTTGTTGTTCGCAATTTATTGGCTTGCAAGATCTTAGAGAAAAGAGACTAAGATATTGTCTGAATGATACTAATTTTGTTTGAGATGATCCATCATTTCATTTTATGCTCAGTTTGTGGTGATCAGGAAATTCCCTCTTGATCTCTGCAGAAAATGGTCATTTCATTGTCTTCTGACAAAGCTGTTTGGGATGCTGTTTTGAATAATGAGGCGGTTCGGGAAATCAGAGATTCTCTAAAACAAGGTTTGTCTTCTTTCAAAGATATTGAATACAGTACATTAGGATATTACTTATACATGTATAAATGATTTACCCAATAACACCAGCAATAGAAATCCCTAGTCCCTGTTTATAGCAAGCCATAATTCAGAGTTGTCAATAGTACAGTTGATATATTTTGACTATATATTTTAGTTGATGCAGCCGATAATGGCTTACCAGCTGAAAGTTCTGAGGAGGGTTTTGACAAATCTGATGGGACAGTAGACATAATCAGTTGGATTGTCGTAAACACTAAGGAAAAAGTGATGGAAATAGTTGAGAAGATCATAGAGTTTGTGAATGAGTGGTTTCAGCCACCTGAAGAGGAGAAGGCATCAGAAGGGAATAGTGATCCATTTGATGAAAAGCTGAGAACTTCCTTCTTCCTTTCGGTCGTAGTTTTGCTGATTGTGGTTGTTGCTCGAGCACAATGTGCGTAGTCATCACAATTTGACGACATGACAGTTGGTAGCCCCCCGCTTTCTGTACTTTTGAAAGTGGGGGATTACAGTTTACCGTCTCTATACTTGAGACAAGAAACCAATACAGTTTTTTCTTGTGTACAAAAAAATAAATGCTTTACTAGGAATTTTTATGCTTTTTTGTTCTTAAGGATTTCTTCAATTTTATTGTTCTCAGCACTGCCTCCTCCCACCCCCAACCCCTCCCGTCTTTCCGCCTTGTAACTTGTGTGATATTTAGCTCCTTCTCGTACTGTTAATATATGGAAATCTGGATTAAACATTCGGGACTTACTCTAGCTGATTACTGTATTGGTAGTCTGAAAAAATTCCTAAGATCTTTTGTCTCATGGTAGCCTGCTCCAGTCCCCTTAGTAATTTGCTGGAGTCAGTTGCTGAAAGCATTGATGCCATTGCCTAGAGAAAGCCAGGTGTCGTAGGTAAGCTCTGCCCGGAGCATTGATTTCAGTTAAGAATAGGCTAACTCTGTGTTAAATTTCCAATAACGAGTAGGATAGCTCAATCTGTCGATTACCTATTGTTAAGGAGCTTCAGCTATGGCGGAAGAAGAGTATAGAAGAAGAGAAACAGAGAGAGAAAAAGCAACATTTCTGTATATTGAGAAAATGAACCGAAAACAATGGTCTCTCTTACACAACCACTAACATATCTACTTTATATATACTACAACTAACTTCCAACTAACTAATAGTATTTACATAAATAGTTGGGACCCACTTCTCTTAACACTCCCCCTCAAGCTAAGGGATGAAACACATTTTTCATTCCCAGCTTGCTCAACAAGTATTCATGTTGTGGTATGCACAAACTCTTAGTGAGTATATCTGCCAGTTGCTCTGCTGTTCCAATATACTGAGCTTGTACGAGTCCTTGTAAGATCTTCTCTCTCACAAAATAGCAATCGATGTCTATGTGTTTGGTTCTTTCATAAAAGATAGGATGAGCTGCAATTTGGATAGCTACCTTACTGTCACAAAATAGTTGAGTAGGCAGTGAAACTTTGACTCCTAGTTCTTTAAAAAGTCCTGTCACCCATACAACCTCAGCTACAGTAGCTGCCATGCTTCGAAATTCTGCTTCAACAGAGCTTCTTCAAATTGTTCCTTGCTTCTTGAATTTCAGGAAATTAAGGCTTCTCCAAACTTCACCACATGCCCTGTGACAAACCTTCTAGTCTCTACAAAAGATCCCAGTCTGAGTCACAGAAGGCAACTAACTGTTGACACCTTCCTGCTGGCATAAACAAACCAAGTCTTAGTGCAGTTTTGATGTACCTAATTACTCTCAAGGCAGCTTCCATATGGGATACTTTTGGTGCATGCATATGTTGACTGAGTACTTGTACTATAAAGGCTATATGAGGCCTTGTGGTAGTCAAGTATAGCAACCTTCCAACTAGTCTCTGAAACTTCCCTTTGTCAGCAAGTTCTGCATCATCAGTAGCATTCTTGCCATGTATCAGCTGATCAAACTTAACGGAGGTGAGTTTGTGGTTGAATTCTAAAGGTGTAGTTGCTGGCTTGCCACCTGCTAAGCCTGATTCAGACACCAATTCCAGAGCATACTTCCTTTGACACATAATTATGCCCTTCTGAGATCTGGAAAACTCAATGCCCAAAAAATATTTTAACTCTCCTAGGTTCTTCATTTTGAACCTTTCTTCCAAATCTTTCCTGATTTGCTTGATAAGGGATAGATTGCTTCCAGTCACCAAAAGATCATCAACATACACTAATATGATCAGCAACTCATGTCCAACCTTTTGTGTGAACAAAGAGTAGTCAAAGTGACTTCCACAATGCCCATATCTACCAGTGCTTCAGTCAATTTTAGATTCCATTGTCTGAGTGCTTGTTTCAAGCCATATAAGAACTTGTACAACCTGCAAACCTTAGTACACTCCCCCTGGTTTGAAAAAGCATCAGGCACTGTCATGTAGACTTCTTCCAGCAAATCACCTTGAAGAAAGGCATTGTGGACATCCATCTGAAATATAAACCAATATGATGCAACTGCTAGTGCAATGACAGCCCTCATAGTGACCATTTTAGCCACTGGTGAGAAAGTTTCAGTGTAGTCCAGCCCCTCCTACTGACTGTACCCTTTTGCAACTAACCTAGCTTTGTACATTTCCACTTCTCTTGTGGACTTGTACTTGACTTTGAACACCTATTTGCAGCCTATATGAGTCTTTCTTGAAGGAAGATCTACCACTGACCAAGTGTTATTTTTCTCAAGGGCTACAATTTCAGATTGCATTGCATCAATCCACTTAGGATCTCTACTTGCTTCAGAGAAAGATTTAGGCTCCAGAATAGCAGAATAAGCAGCAAGAGAAACCTGATAAGTTGAGGAAAGAGTATTATAGCCTACATAATTTGAAATTGGATATTGACTACCCTTTTGAGGCTGAACTACAAAGTCTTTCAGCCACACTGGTGGCTTAGTAGTTCTTGAAGACTTTATGAGTTCCACCACTGGAGTAGAGTGTCCAGGAGGCAGCAAAGTAGATGGATCAACTGGTGAAGGTGACACGTCAGCAGTTGACTGATCCTCAGAAGAATTGAATATAGGATCTTCAGGAGAGTTGATTGCAGAAACAAGAGTTGTATCAGGAATTGTATCTTGAGGTAAAGATTGAGTTAAAGTCTCAACAAATTCCAGCACAGGGAATAGAATAGAAGACTCAAAAGACGTGTTTGAAAGGAAATACCTCCTTTTTGAATACAATATCCCTATTGACAAAGAAAACTTTAGAAAGAAAATCATAAATAATGTACCCTTTCTGGGAGGAGGAGTACCCCATATGAACTGATGGTACAACTCTAGGATTGAATTTGTCACATTTCTTCACATTGGTTGCATAGTATAGGCTGCCAAAGACCTTGAGGTGGTGTAGAGAAGGTGACATGTGGAATAAATGTTAAAATGGGGATTTATCTTGTAGCACCACAGTGGGAAATTTGTTCAATAGATATACAGCAGTGTAGATACATAGGCCCCCCAGAATTTCAAGGGCACAAAAGCCTGAAACTCAAAGCCCTGGCCATGTCTAAGATGGATTTGTGCCTCCTTTCAACATCACCATTCTGTTGGGGTGTGCAAGACACAAGAGCTTTGATGCAAAATTTCGTGTTCCTTCAACAAGGTGCCTAGTTGTTCATTAAAGAACTCTGTTCCATTATCAGTTCTAAGGCATTTTACTCCACTACCAAATTGAGTTTTAACAAGTATCAGAAAGTCTTTTAACACAACTATTGAGTCAGCTTTAGTGTGCATGAGATAGATCCAGGTGTATCTAGAATGATCATCGACTAGAGTCAAAAAATACCTTTTACCATCATAAGTTGGTACCCTATAAAGCCCCCACTAGGGGTGGGCATCGGTCGGTTCGGTCGGTTAGTATGAAAGTACGGTTCGGTTTATCGGTTTTCGGTTTTGTAATATTAATAACCAAACCAAACTGAAGTATTTACGGTTCGGTACGATTTTTTCAAAGTTCGGTTCGGTTATTTTCGGTTTAGTTATTCGGTTATTAACGGTGCTAAGATTTTTATGTGTTGATCTATAATAGCTCTGGAAGTGAATTCCTTTGGAATAATGTTTCGAATTAGTTCCTCTTATGCCAGTTTACTCGAGGAAATGTGTCATTTTGGTCTGTTGGCGCCTGGCAGTCTTCAGGGAAAAAAGCTGAGAACATATGTTCTTTTATAATAGATTTATGTGTTTGCCCACTCACAAGTTTCATCACTCAATCATTCCATGTTTAAAATGCCTGCACAATTACGGTAATTGTCAAACATAACAAAATCAACTCTAACTATTACATGCACATCCATATCAGATTTGAATCACCTGTTATCTCTCACTGCAAATGAGAAAATACCCCAACTTTTTTTTAAAATGTCAAACATAACAAAATCGACCTATAACTACTGATATTTGACCCATTATACAGAAGCATGCAACATCTACTCTAACGCCTCCACACTCCACTCAATAAGAACATTTAAAGATGGGAAGCTAAAACTATCAGCAGATGCTCACCCCTAAATGCAGATGCTAGACACTTAATTCAACATAGCAACTAGCAACTAGCAAGGGCTTTTACATTAAAGTAAAAAAAAATAATATGCAAACCCAGAGGGACGAGGCGTGGAGGACTGGAGGCGACGAGCGGTAGAAGAGGAAGAGAGGCGTCACAGTAGGCGGTTAGGCGCAACAGCAGCAAGCGACGAAAGGAGGAAGGAAAGTGAGGACTCAAGAACCCTAATTAGAACTAAGACAGTTTCTATTTTCTAATTTCTAAAGAAGTAGACTAGGAAAGTAACTTAAGTAGATTGTAGGAATGTAGGGTATTGGGTAAATTGGGATTCAGATTTGTGAATGGGTTTTGGGTAAATTGGGCTAAAAAGAAGGTGACCAGGTGGGCGAGCCCATATGTTCAAAAGTGATAACCCAAACCCAATAATTAATATCCTATATTTCTCAACTCTCATACCCAAACTTCGATTTTTCGGTTTAACCGAAAACCAAAATACTAAAATCGTTAACCGCACCGTATTCCGAAATTTAATAATTTATAAACCGCACACCGACTGAATAACCGATTAAACCGACAACGAAAAACCGAAATTTACGGTTCGACCGGTTTTATCGGTTCGGCCGGTATTATGCCTACCCCTAGCCCCCACATATCAGCATGTACAATATCAAATGCAGCACTAGAGCAAGTTTGACTATGAGAGAAAGGTAGCCTTGATTGTTTAGCAATAGGACAAACAGTACAGTGATGACCTTCTAGTTTTAGACTAGGAACACCATCTAGCTTTTGCAAGACTTTTAATGGAGCATGTCCTAATCTTCTGTGCCACAAAGAGGACACAGAGCAAGACTGTTCAGTAGCTAGACTACCACATTTATTGAATGCATCAGAAGTAGTATTTACAGTTAGAAAAGAAGTAGAAATTTGCTTATGAAGCACTTGTTATCCAGACAATGGCCTTCCATTTGCCTTCAGAATGTAAAGTCCAAACTCTTCTTTACCAATCCCCAACACCTTCCCACTTGAGAGTTCCTGGAAGATACAAACGTCAGGATAGAAAGCTACTAAACATTGTAACTCCTTTGTGATCTTTGAAACTGAGAGTAAATTATATTTGAAATCTGGAATATGAAGAATATTCTGAACTGGATTATCCTTGAAAAATGATGCAACACCCTTATGTGAAATAGCTACTTGCTCTCCAGCGAATAAGTGTACCTTGTTCCTATCCTTTCCAGTTAACTTCACATAATCATCTAACAAATCCAGACTTTGAACCATATGATTAGAAGCACTTGTATCTTCTATCCAATTCTGGTCTACAAGATGTGACGTAAGTGCATGGGCAATACCTGTTGTCCCTGCAGTTGCAACATTTGCTACAGGTTCAGCCTCTTGTCCTTTGTTTAGTAGCTGAAAGATCTGATTCTATTGCTCATGAGTGAAGAAGTGAGCTGGTACAGCAAGTGGAGTCATGGAAGAATGATTGTGTGACTCGGGAACTTGATTTCCAACACTTGTAACACTATTTGCATGAGTATTGGAAGGGCTTTCTCTCTTTCTATTTTTGAAATCTGGAGGATAACAATGCAGTTTGTAACAGTTATCTTTGGTGTGCCCTTTGCCTTTGTAGTATTCACAATAAATCCCAGATTTTTCAAATGAATTACTACGCTTAAAACCTCCATTGTAGTTATTAGTATTGAATCCTCCATTGTTGTTGTAACCTCCATTGCAATTACTTTTGTATGACTTATTGCTCATCATTGCTGCAACTTCATTATTGTCAGTTAAGGAAGAAGTACATTTCCCATGTATCCTTTGACTCTCCACATTGATAATCATGGCATAGGCGTGGTTTATGCTAGGCAGTGGCCTAGTCATCAGAACCTGGTTTTAGCAGTCTCATAAGACTCATTCAAACCAGTCGAAAATTGATATAGTTTCTGCAGCTGGTAACGTTCGGTATGCCTCTTAGATTCAGGGCATCCACAAGTAGGTGGAGGATCTAGAGTTTCATACTCATCCCACAGCTCTCTAAGTCTAGAGAAATATACAGAAACATAGGAGATTCCCTGAGTTAAAGTGGCAATCTATTTATGCAGATAGCAGGCCCTAGAAGCATTGACCTTATCAAACCTTTCTCTAAAATCCTCCCATACTTTGTGAACATCAGATGCATAGATCACTGTACTAATTAGACTAGGTGTGACTGTATTCATTATCCAGGCTAGAACAATAGCATTACACCTATCCCACAGTTCATGTAAGCTAGAATCATACATCTCCCAACGACATGTACCCAGCACAAAACCTAGCTTGTTTTTACCATGCAACACAATTTTCATTGATCGACTCCAAACTGAATAGTTCTCAGAACCTTGAAGTTGAACAGAAATGAGTACCGAACCTTGAGTGTCAGACGGATGAATGTAGATAGGGTGATTGTGATCGATTTGATCAGCAGACTGAGGAGTCGACTAAGTATCATCTATCTCTTTATTAATCAACATTTTAGCAGCTATAAATTTCTTCGAACTCTTTAATTGAAAGTGTATACACAGAGGAATCAGCAAATCAACAATTGAGGCGAGATCTCAAAACCCTAGCTTGTTGAAAGGGGTCTAAATTGAGCAATTAACTCAAAAATTAACTTGAACTCTTGCTTAACAGAAGAATTCTGTCACAACTGAGCTAGACGGGACCGACAACCAAAGCTCTGATACCATGTTAAGGAGCTTCAGCTATGGCGGAAGAAGAGTTTAGAAGAAGAGAAACAGAGAGAGAGAAAGCAATAACATTTCTGTATATTGAGAAAATGAACTAAAAACAATGGTCTCTCTTACACAACCACTAACATATGTACTTTATATATACTACAACTAACCACTAACTAACTTCCAACTAACTAACAGTATTTACATAAGTAGCTGGGACCCACTTCTCTTAACACCTATCATGTGCACTTTCTCAACTGCACCTTGAGGTGTATTTAGTTGCTTTTACATGACTTGGAATATTTCTACTCTATGAAATGATGGATGTTAGCCTCTTTCTTCCTTTTTATAATAGTAGGATTATGAGCTATTCTAGTTAGACAAGTGAATGACCTTCGACATTCTATCTACTTGTCAGAAGTGTTTCTAGTGGCTAAAATTGAGAAGGTGAATATGCCCTCTTAACATTAGTTGCAGAAGTATTTATGATGTCGTAACCGCAAATAAATGTATGAATCCTTCTTTCTGTATCAACAAGAATGAATATATTTTATGCGTGAGAAAAAGACCTGAGACTGAGATCAAGCACCTTATGTTCCTGTAGAGCCATACTCTTACAAACAAAAATTATGATGACAGGATGATTGTTTACTCGAAAAATCGGACAGAGTTGAATTTGTATGTAGTTCTAAGGGTATGTGGTATAACTTGATACAAATCGCAAAGAGAAATAGAAATATCCAATCTTGACTAAAAGAACGAAAGATAAAAATGGTTGAAAAGAGAAAATAAATGGACCAGATAAGATGAAGTAAGAGAGCTCAAATGATTGAACTTTCAATATAAGGAATAGTCTTTTTAACAATGTGTGAATGTCCTCTTTACAGAAACAACATTCATCCCTTTATAGTGGAGGGATCATACTTTAGATATAATAAAAAATACATAGTGGGAAAGCCATGAGGAATTAGTTTTTCCCTAATTTCTGTCAGGATTCTCTCCCCTAGTGCGGTTGCAACGGCTCTTGTCTGTGAGCTCGATATTGACACGAGCTCGGTATTGACTCAAGCCCTCGATCTTGACTCGAGCTTGATTCTGACTCGGAGTCTGGTATTGATTCGGGGTCGGTGTCGATAGGTCTATGCATCTTAGGCTAGATAATTTCTCTTTGCCTCGTAGTTCGGTTTGGATACGAGCTCGATAATGCTACCGAGCTTGTCATTGATCGGTCCTAGAACTCGAAGCTTGATGACCTGACTTCGGACCTCGACCTGGTATTACGAAGCCTCCATTCGATGAAAGTATTATCATACCGACCAGTCCGTACGACGGACTAATATGTTTTGACCGTATACAGATAGTCCCCGTGTTTCTCCGGAAGAATGTAACGAGAAATGACATGATTTTCCAACGGTATGATTAGACATATACTGACGTGTGCATCGAATCCGATCGTGATGTACACGATAGTTATCCCGTCGGTTTAGTTTATCAAGGCATTTAATACGTGTCAGACGGCAGTCGGCCATTACCGATATTGGACCGCCACTGCTCAGTCTATAAATATCCCCTTCTTTCACCATTAATCACTTTTACATCTTCTAATCTCAAAATTTTCTAAGCATTTCCTCATACCTTCTGAATTAAGTGTGAAATTTTTCTTCTGTGGTTTTTACTGCAAAATCTTTCTTTGAAACACCACATCTTCTTTATTTCCTTCTTCTAAATTCAAAAATGGTGAAAACATCAAAAATCGTCCCTAAAAAAGAAGAGGCTTCTTCTTCATAGCCCGCCGCCGATAAAACACCGGTGGAGCCACGGCCTGAGGAGTTTGTTCCTGGAACGTGTCTTCTCACCTCCGATTTTAAGCTCGATAAAGGCTCGTTGGTTCCCGGTCGGTGTGAGCCGGTATCGAGGTATTTATGCTCGATAACCAAAAAGCAACTTGCACAGTTAAAGACAGATTGCAACTGGGATAACACAGAAGTGGTAATTCCGGCTCCAGATGAAGATATTACCACCTACGTGGAAGGGTTCCTTGGCGTGTATACTTACCCTTTTACGTTAGGACCTTTCGACCCTGTTATCATCGATTTTTGTCGTCAATACCGAATAACTCTAGGTCAGATTCATCCTTCCTTTTGGCGGATCGTTATCCTGATTTGTTTCTTTGCAAACAAGATCGAGGGGATGCCTTTCACCTTCGATCATCTTATTAGATTGTATAGTCCCCGCCTCTTTTGAGGTGGATTAATAAAACTTCAACATCGGGCTACCAAGGTACTGTTCTCGAGCATAGATGAGGACAAAGATCGAGGTTGGATGGGCAGGTTCGTTTGAGTGAAGACTTCGGACCTTATCCCAGCCGAAAATATGCCATTCCCCAAAGAATGGAAAATGAAGCGTAAGTGTAATTCTGCTGTTTATTCCCAATCGCTTTGTCTCTTTATTACTTTCTTGATGATATCTCTTTTGTGATGCAGCGGTTCCTTGGATGCCCGGTGCCGTTCCCGATCTTAAGATTTGGGTACGGGCCCTGGCTTCGACCTCTACATACGCCGAACGTTCGTGGTGTGATTTGGCAAAGGGCCGATGGGAGGCAAAAAATCATGGAAAGCCTATTTCTCATGTTTTGAGAGTTTGAACAAAATATTTTCCACATATTCAACCGTTTTTCTTGTGTGTAGGCCTGGCAGAGATGCGGTTTTGAGGCCCCTGCCCGGCGAGGAAGAAGCCTCGGGCCCGGTTTCTAAACCGGAGAAGGGAAATAAGAGAAAAAGGGCCTCTATTTCTGAAAATCCAAAACCAAAGGCAAGGTCGACTCGTAAGTCGAGGAAGAATACCATTTCTTTCTTAGAATCGGTTCAACGTCTAAGGAATGAAGATGAGGAAGAAGAAGAAGACGGGTCCGTACTGGTGGCTCGAGCGAAGAAGACCACTGATGTTCTACAGGCAGCTGGATCGATGGTGGTTTATAAGGCTCCGCCTCGAACTGAGGATATATCAGAGAAAGATTCGGGCAGAGTCCCTGAGTCGTTGGAGATCGAGGATGCTTCCCGTCGAAGCCAACGGATGTAGGATATGTCTAAAGGGGTTGTCCCTGAATCTCTTTGAATCGAAGAGAACGCCCCAAGTGACTCACTTGGGGCAGTAGCAATCAAAGACTCGCCCACCTTTCCTGTTTTTTCCGAAGGGGCGATTCAGGAAGCCCAAGCTTTGGGGGCCTCGAAATAGACAGGCTTCATGAGGGAGAGGATCCTTTTTGTGACCTGTTTACCGGTGTCGAGGACGCTGCCGGAACTAGTGATGCATTGAATCTTTTTCACGGAGTGCAGTAGGCTTTGAATCACGTAAGCCTTAAATTATTTTGTTGGTATTATCTCTTATGTCTGTTTTTCTTTTCTTACTTTGTTTCTTCTTTCTTCGTAGGCCGTAGAAGCTCATCGAGAAGCATGTTCTCGATCCCGAGCTGAGCTGCGTCAATACGAGGCCGATCTCCAACGGGCCACGGAGGAGAGGAAGGCCCTTAAACTCCTCTTAGGTCAAAGGGGAAAGGAAATCAAGGACCTCCGAGCTGAGTTGGCCAAAGCTCACCAAGATCAGACCGATATGTCCAAGCAGGTAATGACACTATTAAAAGCCTATGGACTCGATACTGGAACGATGGCTAATCTTTCAGTCTCACAGCTGCAGCAGAAGCTTGAGATGATCGGGAAACTCCGTGAGGAGGTCGATGTGATACAGGCGGAGTCCTTGAAATGGAAAGGAAATATAGACCGCTTTGCTGCAGAGAAAGAGGCTGCTCGAGCCCAATTATCATCAGCCGAAAGTCAACTTCAAAGTCTGAAGGAGAAAAGCTTGGTTCAAGCAAGGAAAACAGAGGAGCTCGAGGCTCGGTTGGCTTCTGAACTTGCCAAGGCTGAAAAGACAAAGGCCGATGTAGACGCATTTGTGGCTGTTTATCGGGCCGATGCTGAAGCCGCTCAGTCATATGTAAGAGAGGTAGCCGAGACCGCTCGAACTCGAGCTCATTGGATTGCCGAATTTTCCAAATGCCAATCTCGGAGGGAAACCCTCGAGGAGATCCATGCTCGAGGCTTCGATCTTACTGAAGAGATAACAAAGGCAAAAGAGATTAAAGCCGATGCTGGGGCCTTGGCCTCCGATGATGATGATGACGATGATGATGATGATGACGGTGATGGGAGCAAGAACGGATCTCAGAGTGGGGAGGAGCCCGATGGAGAAAAGACTGCTCCCGTAGATAATTATGGTTTTTCGTTTTTTGATCTTTTCATGTAAGGTCCTGATCGGACGTTTTGTAAACATCGTCATATATATAAAGGTCTTTTCTTTTACCAACTTATCTTTGTTTTCTTTTCTTCCTAGTGAAGATTTTGTTTTAATTGTGTCTTATGAAAATGTCCATAAGTTTGAGGATTTAGTTGAGTGAGTGTTTACTCAAACTTTTAGTAAAGTAGCCCTTAGGCTTAATAGTCGAGCGAGTGATTACTAGAACCCGAAGTAATATATCTCTTAGGCTCAATAGTTGAGTGAATGATTGCTCGAACTCGAACTCGAAGTATTGTAGCACGTAGGCTTTATGGTCGAGTGAGTGATTGCTCGAACTCGAAGTAAGATAGCCCTTAGGCTTAATAGTTGAGTGAGTGATTGCTTGAACTCGAACTCGGAGTATTACAGCCCGTAGGCTTTATGGTAGAGTGAGTGATTACTCGAACTCGAAGTAAGATATTCCTTAGGCTTAATAGTCGAGTGAGTGATTGCTTGAACTCGAACTCGGAGTATTGCAGCTCGTAGGCTTTATGGTCGAGTGAGTGATTGCTTGAACTCGAAGTAAGATAGCCCTTAGGCTTAATAGTCGAGTGAGTGATTGCTTGAACTCGAACTCGGAGTATTGCAGTCCGTAGGCTTTATGGTCAAGTTTTTCAAAATTCCTTCGATAGTGGTCGGCCCTTAAGCCTGTTTGAATCATGAAGTAGAACAAATATTTCGAAGTATGAGATATCGGTAAAGAAGAAGTTTCCCTTTATAAGTCATTATACATATGTTTGTATTTTGCGCCAGGCTCGAGCAAAACTATGCGGGCATGGTTCGTTTTGACCATTTGGCCCTTACACTTTTCTCTATCGAGACCCTGTCTGACATGAATTTGATATGAAATAACTTTCTTGTATCGAACTTGATTTATTCGATGGTAAAGCCCCCCAGTATTCAAGGTTGACTGTAAAGAGGCCTTGGATACTGTTGAATTGTCCTCAGGTAGCACATAGTTATTACCTCGTTAAAAACCTCGTCGTAAAAACCCAGTTGGGATAAAAACCGATCTAAGGGGAAAAAAATGGAACGCGTACTTTCAAACCTGAGGTCTCGATGTCTTTGGTCGAACTCCTGCAACGAGTTAGCGTCGAATATATATGGACGAAAAGAGGGAGAAAATCATACCTTAACAATAATATCGTTTGAGAAGTGATATGTTCCAGTTGTTTGGTAATGGTGTGTCATCCATCGTTCTGAGTTTATAAGACCATTTTCCGACTATATCAAGGACTTGATAGGGTCCTTCCCAATTCGGGCCGAACTTTCCTTCAGTAGGATCTCGAGTGTTGATGTTGACCTTTCTTAGGACTAAGTTTCCTACCATGAAGTGGCAGAGGTCGGTTCTTCTATTGTAGTACCTTTCGATTCGTTGCTTTTGTGAAGCCATTCGAACAAGTGTCGCTTCTCGTTTTTCATCCAATAATTCGAGGCTAGTATTCATATCCTCGTGGTTCGATTCCTCTGATCTATGTCGAAACCTTGGGTTAGGTTCTCCCAGTTCAACTAGAATTAAGGCTTCGGAGCCATACACCAAGGAAAACGGAGTTGCCCCCATACCGGACTTCGATGTTGTTCGATATGCCCAAATGACCTCGGGCAGAATTTCTCGCCATTTCCCTTTAGCTTCGTTTAACCTTTTCTTCAGGTTTTGGATGATAGTCTTGCTCGTCGATTCGGCATGTCCGTTCCCACTAGGATGGTACGGTGTTGACAATATCCTTTTTATTTTATGGTCTTCGAGAAATTTTGTCACTTTACTGCCGATAAATTGCTCACCATTATCGCATGCTATTTCTGCGGGTATCCCAAATCGACACACGATGTGATCCCAGATGAAGTCTATAACCTTTGTTTCTCTTACTTTCTCGAACGTCTGTGCTTCAACCCATTTAGAGAAATAGTCAGTCATAAACAAAATGAACTTATCTTTACCTGGGGCCGATGGTAGGGGGCGACGATATCCATCCCCCATTTCATGAATGGCCATGGGGATAGTACTGAATGAATTTGTTCTCCGGGGTTGATAGATCATCGGTGCGAACCTTTGACATTTATCACATTTTCGAACAAACTCCTTAGTGTCATTTTCCATGCTATTCCAGTAGTATCCTGCCCTACTGATTTTGAGAATCAGTGATTCGGCGTCGGAGTGGTTTCCACAAGTACCTTCATGGACCTCTCGTAAAATATAATCGGTGTCTCCTGGTCCTAAGCATACTGCCAATGGTCCATCGAACATCCTTCGGTATAGTGTTCCATCTTCGGCCAACGTGAATCGAGCAGCTTTGGTTAGTAGGACCCTTGATTCTTTAGGGTTCGATAGAAGTTTTCCGTTCTTCAAGTATTCAATATACTTATTCCTCCAATCCCAGGTTAAGCTTGTAGAATTTATCTCGGCATGCCCTTCCTCGACTACGGATCCCGAGAGTTGAACGACAGTCCCCGAGTCTATCTCGTCTTCCTCGACCAATGACCCAAATTTGTGAGTGCATCGGCCTCACTGTTTTGTTCTCGAGGCACATGTTGTAAAGTTCATTCCTTGAAACGGTGCAAAGTTACGTGTAATTTATCCAAATACCTTTGCATTCTATCTTCTCGAACTTCGAAGGTTTTGTTTACTTGGTTTACCACTAGCAAAAGAGTCACATTTGGCTTCAATAACTTCTGCTCCCAAGCTTTTAGGTAGCTCGAGACCTGCAATCATGGCCTCGTACTCGGCCTCATTGTTAGTCAACCTAGAAGTTTTGATGGATTGCCGTATAATGCCACCCGTGGGGGGGTTCAACACGATGCCAAGCCCATACCCCTTCACATTCGAAGCACCATCTGTGAAGAGGGTCCAAACCCCCGATTTTGACAAGAGTTCTTTTTCAACTTCAGATACTAGGGTTGGCGTGAAATCGGCCACGAAGTCCGTTAAAATTTGAGACTTGATGGCCGTACAGGGTTGATATTCGATATCGTACTGATCACTCCCAACTATGCCTTGTAAAAAGGACTAAGCGGTCGCTGCAAATATAATCCGGTTCAAGTCTGGAGTCGAATCCCACAGGGAACTAACGTATTTACTATAACTTTTAACAATGCTAATGATAAGCTCAGACAATTTTCGGATACAAGATTTTTAACAGAGCATAAGTGGAATTTATTTATCTAATGAAAAATGACAACAAAATTAGCAATAATCAAGAATAAGGTTGAATTTAAAGGTAAAAGAATCTAGGGCTATTGATTTTCTCAATTGCAGGACTAATTCCTGACATGTTAGCTATAATCTCGTCGTAATATTCTATGAGGATTATGAGTTCCTGGCTACCGTAATTATATCTTGATCAATTACGATAATTTACTATAAGCATTATCTCGAACTACTCTAGTTAACAATTTATGCAACTCACAAGTATCCCACTAAAGCTTCGTTATTTCTAACCCCGCTGTTAAATTCAAGTAATTAATCTCTTAACTTACCCGAAAGTGGTGTTGTTCAACAACAATCTAACCAAGTATTCTTTCTCAAGCAACACAAGGCAACTAGACACGATTAATCAAGGGCCCTTTCAATTAATCACAACACAACACATAGTTGAACAATTATAAAATAAGAATGGCTCAATTATATCTAAACATAGTTAAAACTTCATCCAACAATTGGTTCCATCAACCCTAGATGATGGGTTTAGCTACTCATACTAATGGGTAAAAATTCACTATAACAATTCATAATCAACAATGGAAGTAAGAAGAAGAAGAAGAAGAAGAAAACTCTTAGGAAATTCTCCGTCTTCTCTCTCTTGTTCTTGCCTCCAAAAACTCCTAAAAATAACCCTGTTTCTCTTCTGGGCGAATTAGGCTTCATATAGGTTTAGGTTAGTCTCCTTAGAAATTACATAATTGCCCCTGAGTTGTTGGCCTCCGTTCGCCCGTCCGCGGCCGCGGATCCGGCCGCGGATTTCAGTCAGTGTTTTGCCTCCAGTGCGCGGTCCAATCCACGATCAACTCCGTGGCCGCGCACCTGGAAGGGACCTCCCCGCTTGCTTTTCTTACTCATTTTCGACCGGGCTAACCTTCGATTGGCCTTCCACACTCCATATTGACTCCAAAACACTCTTTAGCTTCCTCCTAGCTTGGAGTGGCTCCTGCAAAGTATAAAATTCTTAATTAGAGCATTTTGTTATCTTTTAGCATTCAAATATCAATAAAGTGCGGCTAAATTAGAGTATAAATAGTGTCTAAATTGCATAAATATAGCCTACTATCACGTACCCACTGAGTTCGATGGCCCATTTGGCCAATCGACCCGATAGTTCGGGCTTATGCAAAATATTACAAAGTGGGTAAGTAGTCAAAACGCATATGGGGTGACATTGAAAGTATGGTCTTAACTTCTTAGAGGCGCTTATCAGAGCAAGTGTTAATTTCTCTAAGTGAGGATATCTAGTTTCTGCTTCTCCTAAGGTCTGACTTACATAATAAACAGGAAATTGCGTACCTTGCTCTTCTCGAACTAGGACGCCACTTACCACGATTTCCGACACCGCCAATTATAAGTAAAGTTTTTCATCTGCCTTCGGGGTGTGAAGCAGTGGTGGGCTCGACAGGTATCGCTTCAATTGTTCTAACGCTTGTTGGCATTTCGGAGTCCACACGAAATCGTTCTTCTTTTTGAGTAGAGAGAAGAATCTGTGGCTTCGATCCGACAACCTCGAAATGAACCGGCCTAATGCAGCTATCCGTCCAGTTAGCTTCTGCACTGCTTTTACACTATCTACGATGGTGATGTATTTGATGGCCTTGATTTTATAGGGGTTGATCCCGATTCCCCGATTTGATACCATGAAGCCAAGGAACTTGCCCTAACCAACCCCGAAAGCACATTTCTCGGGGTTGAGTTTCATGTTGTATTTCCTTAAAATCTCGAACGTCTCCTGGAAATGAGTCAAATGGTCCTCTGCGCGCATGGACTT